GGTGAGTCCCGATGATGCAGTCGTCAGAGCTCCTCTCCCGGACGCAGCTGCGGTACGACGACCCGGTCACCCGCATGGAGCTGCTGCGCTTGTGGTGTTCTGGAGCGCCGTCAGGATCCAGCAGCACTGCAGAGACCGAGTCAGGAAAGCAGCAGCATAAAAATCAATAAGCGACCTGTTTATTTCGAGAATAAAGTGAATATGTTGTTTTAGAAATGTCACAGTTTCTGGCAACATATTTCGATCTAAATATTAAACCGACAAGCTAAATATTCAGGTTGGAATTTCAATATTTATTTCCAAATGTCTGCAAACTAAAGATTTAGCTTCCAAATAAAATGAATCAGAGTATTTCTACTCAGACCGGTTCCTTCCAAGCCCCTGAGTTCTGACCCGCCGGTTCTGACCCGCACCGCTGCTCTTGAAGCCCAGGAAGCGAGACAGCTTGCTCTGGCAGCGCTCCTGCTCCTCGTAGGTCAGCAGCTGGTGGATGAACTGCCAGATCAGCTGCTTGGCTGGAGTGTCCAGCACCGGGAAGACGTCCACTATCAGGCTGTCCAGGTTCCTGTCAGTAACAACACACCTTATGAGGTCACTTCCTGCTCCCCGCCCCGCCCCCCCGCCCCGCCCCCCCGCCCGCGGCTCACCTGTGCTGGAAGAAAGTCTCCAGGGCCTTGCAGACGGTGTAGCGCTCCTGGATGGTCAGCAGGTGCTCCAGCTGCTGGCTGAAGGTCCGACCCTGAACCTTAATGCTGGGAGGGAGGATCTCTGCCACCCACTGCAGCGAGCTGAGAGCCGGGGACCTGTCCAGCAGAGACACAGCGTCCATCAGAGACACGGCGTCCAGCAGAGACACAGCGTCCATCAGAGACACGCGTCCAGCAGAGACACAGCGTCCATCAGAGACACGGCGTCCATTAGAGACACGGTGTCCAGCAGAGACACAGCATCCATTAGAGACACAGCGTCCATTAGAGACACGGCGTCCAGCAGAGACACAGCGTCCATCAGAGACACGGCGTCCATTAGAGACACGGTGTCCAGCAGAGACACAGCATCCATTAGAGACACAGCGTCCATTAGAGACACGGTGTCCAGCAGAGACACAGCGTCCATCAGAGACACGGCGTCCATTAGAGACACGGTGTCCAGCAGAGACACAGCGTCCATTAGAGACACAGCGTCCAGCAGAGACACATTGTCCAGCAGAGACACATTGTCCATCAGAGACACATTGTCCATCAGAGACACGGCGTCCATTAGAGACACGGTGTCCAGCAGAGACACAGCGTCCAGCAGAGACAGAGGAAGGAATGTCTTCCTCTGTCTCTGGTGTTTGTCTGAACTCGTCTTCACTTACTGGTCCAAAAGTATATCAACGTTTCAAGACCTTCTATTAACTTTGCTTAAATAAAAATTGATTTTCTGAAACAAGTTTATCTACAATATTCTAAAAAAACATAATTAATAGTCAAATGTCTTCCACATTTGAACCACAGGCGTCCCTACAGCCCTGTGTGCCGACCTGGAGCGAGGAACCATGGCAGGAGTCAGACTGGGAGATTCTTCCGGGTCGGTCCGGTCCGAGGAGAAGTCCGACGGGCCGTCCTCCACCACCAGGGTCGGCACCGCCCCGCTGCCCTGCAGCATGGACACCACCTTCTCATGGGAGCAGTTCCTGCAGGAGGACCAGATGGACAGCCTGAAGCAGGAGACGTAACCAGAACCAGAACCAGAACCAGAACACGCTCCGGCCCTCTGCCAAGTTGTGCTAACAGCAGTTAGCCTATCAGAAACTATGCTAGCTTAAAATAGCATCTGGTTGTTAGCATGTAGCAGCTAGTGTTGATGTTAGCATTCTCCTCCAGATGTGTAGAGAAGCTCCATCATCTCTGATAAATTCAATACATTTCAATTCAAAGTATGAATTATTTTGTCCATAAAGTTTGATTAACTGGAATTATCCTGTTGAAACATTTTAATGGCGCCCAGCGCCGGTTCGTTTATGAACACATGAAATCATCACCAGATGCAGCTTCGCTCCTGAGCTGGAAGCGGTTTCCATGGTTACGGCGAACATCTTTGCTCCATGACAACAGATCTCACATGGCTGCCAGGTGACAGGGTGAGTCAGGATGACAGGGTGAGTCAGGATGACAGGGTGAGTCAGGATGACAGGGTGAGTCAGAATGACAGGGTGAGTCAGGATGACAGGGTGAGTCAGGATGACAGGATGAGTCAGGATGACAGGGTGAGTCAGGATGACAGGGTGAGTCAGGATGACAGGATGAGTCAGGATGACAGGGTGAGCCAGGATGACAGGGTGAGTCAGGATGACAGGGTGAGTCAGGATGACAGGATGAGTCAGGATGACAGGATGAGTCAGGATGACAGGGTGAGTCAGGATGAGTCAGGATGACAGGGTGAGTCAGGATGACAGGGTGAGTCAGGATGACAGGGTGACTGGGACCGGAGGGTCCAGCACTGAAAGTTGGTGAGGAAGGGACTGACCTCATGTCCAGGCCGTTCAGGAACAGGATGCGGTCACCTGGTTTCAGCCCACACTCATCAGCAGGGCTGTCTGAGAGCAACAAGACAGGATCAATCAATCAATCAATCAATCAATCAATCAATCAATCAACCAATCAATCAATCAATCAATCATTTACTTGTAGCACATCTCAGCAACCAGGCAGTTCCGAAAAATATCACTGAGTGACTAATATGAGAACATTTTGATGAGTGATCAAAATCATCAAACATATTGATCAATATTCAATTTATTACGTTTCCATAGCAACCAAACATGGATTTAAAGGACCTCGTGTTTCAGCTGTTTTCCAGAAGTTTGTTCTAGATTTATGGTGCCTAGAAGCTGAAGGCAGGAATCGACAAACGCCTGGTTGAGTCGTCGTTCTCTGTTCCTCAGCTGACAGAAGGCCGGCTTTGGAGCCGCCTTTATGTGGCGCCGAGGGTCCAGACAGCCAGTGACCCAGCGGGCTCACAGCGCCTCCGCTCTCTATTCAGCAGGGGCCCCAGTGGGCCCCAGCGGGGGGGCTCCATGGGTCCCAGCGGGGGGGGCTTTGGGCCCCATCGGGGGGGGGCTTCGTGGCCCCAGCGGGGGGGGCTTCGTGGGCCCCAGCGGGGGGGGGCTTCGTGGGCCCCAGCTGGGGGGGGCTTCGTGGGCCCCAGCTGGGGGCTCCGTGGGCCCCAGCTGGGGGGGGCTTCGTGGGCCCCAGCTGGGGGCTCCGTGGGCCCAGCGGGGGGGGGCTTCGTGGGCCCCAGCAGGGGGGGGGGCTCCGTGGGCCCAGGGGGGGGGGGCTTCGTGGGCCCCATCGGGGGGGGCTTCGTGGGCCCCAGCGGGGGGGGGCTCTTTGGGCCCCATCGGGGGGGGCTTCGTGGGCCCCAGCGGGGGGGGGGCTTCGTGGGCCCCAGCAGGGGGGGCTTCGTGGGCCCCATCGGGGGGGGCTTCGTGGGCCCCAGCGGGGGGGCTCTTTGGGCCCCATCGGGGGGGGCTTCGTGGGCCCCAGCGGGGGGGGCTCCGTGGGCCCCAGCTGGGGGCTCCGTGGGCCCCAGCTGGGGGGGGCTCCGTGGGCCCCAGCTGGCCCACTGCGTCAGGCTGGTGGGCGCTGTCATCGCCGCAGCTTCGATAACAGCCTGATGCTTTCATCTCAGAAACCCAAAGCAGATTATTATGAACTGATATAAAGGATCCTTATTAATCTAATGGGATTAAATGAACAACTTCAGTTAAAATATGTCAGACATAAACAAGTGAAAATACTAAAGAAAAAGGAAATACAAGCCAAGTATTGAAAGTCTGACCAACACAAAATGCAGCCAAAGCAGGCTGGGGAAATTCAACAAATAAAATCTGAAAAGTGTGGCCTGTTTCTCTACTCAGACTGGCTCAATCAGAACTGTGCAGAAGCTGCAGTTTTCCACCTCTACAGACTGAAATACCTGTTTTTGTGTCCTGCCACAGATACTGAGGGGCAGTTAAGTCTGGACTTGTACTAGGCCACTCTAACCCATCAAGTCAGGCTGATTGTCTCAGCTCTTCTTCAGCCTCTCACAAGTTTCCCCCAGGATTTTCCTGATTCAGCTCCCAGCATGATGCTGCCACCACCGTGTTGCTCCTTGTGTTCAGATTACAGCTGACTGACGGCTTGCCATCGCTCAGCGTTTTGTTTTGTTCGCCTCGCTCCAAACGAAGTGATCCTGGAGGTAAACTGCAGTAACTTTCAAAAAAATAAATGTTTTTACATATTTATTCAAACTGCCTCCATGTTGGGACAGTTTGTTATGAGACAGATAATCTGTGAAAAGATCGATCTCCTCTGCCTTCTACCAGTGCTAACTGGAAACAACCAATCAGAGCCAGGGGCGGGGCTTAGCGCAGACAATCACAATCTTGTACGCTCAGCTAGCATAGCATATCGTGAATGCAAAGGCTAGTTAGCATAGACACAGACAACGGTGAATAAATGGTTTTCTTGTAATAGTAAGTTGTCTCTTTACAACATTTAGCAGCGAGTCTGCAACCTGATTGACAGCGCTAAGCCCCGCCTCTAGCTCGGATTGACTGCTTTTGGTGCATTTCTTCAGACAGTAGCAGATCAGGGACGATCTGGAGGAGACCCAGGTGTTCACAGATTATCTGTCTCAAAAACATGAAGACAGTTTATTAAATAAGTAAAAATATTTGATAAAAGTTACAAACCGCAGATTAAAACTCAGATTATATTCCAGGAAGACAGGGCTCCACTTCCTGTTGGTCTTCACATTAAAGCACCAACCATTAAGGCAGGTCCCCATCATGCACCTGTGTGGCGTCCAGCATCTGATGGGAGCTGTGGCGCGGCCCGACCCGGGTTCTGATCGGACCCTGTCAGAACCAACCCGGTCCAAACCGCCCGGGTTCTGTTCTGGAAGTGGTACCTGGGATGACGGCGTCGATGCAGACGGGGGCGTGGCCTCGCAGCGTGAAGCCGAAGCTCTTCTTCCCTCTGTAGACTCGGATCACCCTGAAGACGGAGACATCAGCCGGTACCAGCGGAGCGGATCAGAACCGGCCGCTGGTGCCGGCTCGCAGCCGGGCCTGGAACCATTAACCCCTTACTGGAATAATCACCAGTTGATCCAGTAACAGATTAATCATTACCTGGATTTACAGACTAAAAGAGGACAATCAGAAATGTCACAAAATAAAAGATGAAAATTGTCTTTTCCAAAAATTTTTGTTTAGTTTTCTAGTTTAGTTTAGTCTACGCTGCTGCTTGAGTTGGTTCATTTTCTCATTTAAAAAGGATTATTTGTTTATTTGCATCCTTAACGTACTTTAGTACAAACATTTTGACACAAATATAGAATAAGATCCGAATCATCTAGAATGACAAAAAAATTTAACAAATGCAGCTACAATGCTGATGTCTTTTACTTATTGTTACATAAAGAAAAGAAGTGGAACCGGAGCGGACCGAACCGGAACGGACTGGAGTGGACCGAACCAGAGCGGAACCGGAGCGGACCGGAGTGGAATGGAACCGGAACGGAACCGGAGCAGACCGGAGTGCACCGAACCAGAGCGGAACCGGAACGGACCAAACCGGAACGGACCGAACCGGAGCTGACCGAACCAGAGCGGACCGAACTGGAGCGATCGGCTCCCGGCTCGATTTCTAACGTTCTTTATTATGGAGCTTCTGATGAAGGTGATTGGACATTAGCATGGCCTCTCCTGGTGCTCCTCAGCTGCTGACTGGTTCATATTTTCCATCTGAGTAACAGCGTTCAGGATCGAGTACAGGCAGCCCAGGTACCACCGAGGGTCCTCGCCCCACCGTTTGAGAAACAGCTTCAAGTTCTACCAGATTATTGGGATCAATTATGAAATGATGTTTATTTTGTGATGATGTAGCCTCAGCAGAACCTTGTGACGCGGCGGTCCGGTCCGCTGCTGTTCGCCAGCCTGTTCTTTGTTTTCGTGCGTCACTTCCTGTCAGTGGGAGTCAGAGCAAATGGAGGCATGACGCTCTGTTCCCTCTCTCTGCGGTTCTGCCCCCTCCCTGTGCGGTTCTGTCGGGTCGGTTCTGGTCCAAAATAAAACCAGATCGTGACATTTTCGTCGCAGATAACAGCCGTGACATTTCGATCGCGGCGGTGCTTCTGTCGGCTTCGTCAGCATCGGCGGCGGAGGCCCGCTGAATGCCCAGAGCCCGTTGCCATGGAAACGGCTGGAGGCAACGCAGCCGGGCGTCTCTGAGAGACGGAAACCTAAAAAGGCAACTGCAGAGGCAACTGCAGAGGCAACTGCAGAGGCAACTGCAGAGGCAACTGCAGAGGCAACTGCAGAGGCAACTGCAGAGGAAAACTGGGGAGTCTTATGTAAGGCGGGATGAGAGCAGCCGCAGGGGAAAACTCACTCTGATTCATTTCATATCAAATTTTATCAGTTTCTTTTCCTACAACAGAAAATATTTTCAAAAATGTTTTTATTCCAACCGTCCTTCTGGGAATCAGATGATGGCCACCCTGACATATTTAAAGAATAAATTTGTAATTCTACCAGAAAATGTTTTAAAGACAAAAAGTTGAGTTGATGAGCAGCTCAGCTCATCTGGCTGGTTCAAAGTTCATCTGAAGGTAATGATTTGATGCTGATGTGTTAAAGATGGAAGATTTCCTTCGTCTATGAATCTGAGGCCAAAGTATAACAAGATGCTCAATAATCCTCAGTTTCATATTTTATTGGCTTTCTCCTAAAATTACATCTTGATTTAATTTAAAAGAATAAAACTCTTAGCCTGATTCTAATACTCCATCAGAATCCACCTGAACTCAAACTCCTGATGAACTAAAGCTGCCTACCAAGATGGCCGCTCTGACTGCGATGACATCACTCTGAACTATGGAAACCCAAAGAGCGAAACCCCAATTTCCTAAGAATTAAAACTTAAAAGAAATATTTCTGGCCCGGTCCGATGGCACCGGGATGATCTGCAGCATTACTCCGGCCAGCCCAGATCATACGCAGCATCGGCGTCTCTCCTTTATGAAGCGCCGCGCTCGCTGTGCTAACCCACTGCGCTAACCCTTTGTGCTAACCCACTGTGCTAACCCACTGCGCTAACCCACTGCACTAACCCACTGTGCTAACCCACTGCGCTAACCCACTGCACTAACCCACTGTGCTAACCCACTGCACTAACCCACTGCACTAACCCACTGTGCTAACCCACTGTGCTAATCCACTGCGCTAACTCACTGTGCTAACTCACTGAGCTAACTCACTGTGCTAACCCACTGCGCTAACCCACTGCGCTAACTCACTGTGCTTTCCCACTGTGCTAACCCACTGCGCTAACCCACTGCGCTAACTCACTGTGCTAACCCACTGTGCTAACCCACTGTGCTAACCCACTGCGCTAACCCACTGCGCTAACCCACTGTGCTTTCCCACTGTGCTAACCCACTGCGCTAACTCACTGTGCTAACTCACTGTGCTAACCCACTGTGCTAACCCACTGTGCTAACCCACTGCGCTAACCCACTGTGCTTTCCCACTGTGCTAACCCACTGTGGCTCGGCGTGTTTATCAGTTGTGAATGCTCCTCTGTTTTCAAACTGCTGAGGTTAAAAATCTCACTGGGATGAAAGTTGATCAATCTGCAGGTTTAATTGATTATTGGTTTGTAAATATCAATACTTGCTGGTTAATCATTGTCTACCAGTGGACTTTAAGATTCCTCTTTTTCTCAGTAAATTTAAAAGTTGTGTGTGTTTTTCCTGTAATTACTGTAGATTATTTGTCTGTATGACATGACACCATCTAACAGCTGCTGTGACTTTAAAAATCATTGTAATTAAATACAATGATATTTGATTTTTGATACTTTTTATGCAGATAAACAATAAATGATGCAGCAAATGCTGGACCTTCAAACATCACAGGGATTATGGTAACATTAAAATCTGAGAACTTGCATCAAATCTCATTTTAACCATAAAATGTCTGAGCTCCTCTTCTTCTCTACGTTTCTACTGCTTACCTCTGTTTGGGCCCCAGCGGGGGGTGAGCGGGGCCCCCGGCCTTCCGGGCGCCCCGCTCCCTCTCCGGTTCTCCGCCGTCCCTGGGCACGGAGCTGGCCCGCTTGGAGCCGTGGCGGCGGTCGGACTGGTCCTCGCTGCGGCTGCGGCGCATGCGGCCCTGCGGCTCGCTGATGCTCTTGGAGCGGCAGAGCCGGTTGATGACGTTCTGGGAGACGGCCTCGTCGAAACGCTGCCGGTGCTTCTTGGGGACGAAGATCCTGGAAAACATGGCGGCATGCGAGGAAGACGGAGACACGTTAGAAGACTATCTTCAGAGTTCAGGTCCGGTTCAGGTCCGGTTCAGGTCCGGTTCAGTCCATGGTGGAGACAGAAACTCAGAGCTCAGCTGGAACTAACTCAACAGGATTCCCTTCAAGTCTGAACCAGAGGAGTGAAGAAACCGATTCCCAGAGGGAGAGAGGAGGAACTCCAACGAGTCTGGAGGCAGAAAACCGAACAGAGATCAGATCTACATCTGAAACTCTGCCTGCTGATCAGAACTGCTGCAGAGAGAAACGGCGGCGCATCGATACAGCGGGACAGAAAAGGTGTGGGAGTGAGAGAGCGAGGAGGGATTCCTCTCTCTCTCCATCCTCCTCTCTCCTCCGCTTCCGCCAGCATCTCACCTCCCTGCATCCGTCGGCCAGACAACAGAGCTGAGAGAGTCGGAGGAAAAACACGGCGACGAAACTTCATGACGATAGATGGACAGATAAACGGACAGCCGCACCTGCTGTGTCTTCTCTGCTACATGCTAACATGCTAATTACCGTCCCATTCAGCAGCCTGAATGTAAATATCCGTATAAATTAGAGAAAATCCTTATTTGGTTCAAATTCTTAAATTTGCTGCAGTTACATAACGACTCCAGGCTGGAAAACAGCGGATAAAATGAATCAATAACAGATATTATCAATAGAAAACTGATGATGAGTTATGGAAACAATTTTCCTCTGCCGAAAAAACAGCTGATAACTTCTCATATGGCAAAAATGGCAAAACCTCATCGTCCAGTTTCAACTGTGCATCAGTTTCATTCTGCAGGTGAGCGTGAGAGCTGAGCGACAGCAGGCTCCGCCCACACCTGCCTGCTGTAGGAAAACGTTTCATAATCCAAATAAATCTAGTCACTGTCTAATCTCAGATTATAGACTATGGCTGCAGCTCTGTTGGTGTTGCACTTAAATAAAACTACATTTAAATTATAACACTTTTGAGAGATTATTTTTATTTAAATTGCTAAGAAATTTTATGATTCAGCAGTTGCACAATAAAAGTCTGAATATTTAGAATATTTTAGGGTCAGAACCAGAACCAGAACCACAATAAATCTGTGAAATTCAACAAAAATTTCTAGATTTTTATCAGCAAAACAATAGGGCAACCGGGTCGACTGCACCGAGCAACAGTCCGGATCTGGCACCAGACTTGGCACCGGACCGGACTGGACCTGGCACCAGACCTGGAACCGGACCGGACTGGACCTGGCACCAAACCTGGCACCGGACCGGACTGGACCTGGCACCAGACCTGGAACCGGACCGGACTGGACCTGGCACCAAACCTGGCACCGGACAAGACTGGACCTGGCACCAGACCGGACTGGACCTGGCACCAAACCTGGCACCAGACCGGACTGGACCTGGCACCAAACCTGGCACCGGACCGACCTGGACCTGGCACCAGACCTGGCACCGGACCGGACTGGACCTGGCACCAAACCTGGCACCGGACCGGACTGGACCTGGCACCAAACCTGGCACCAAACCTGGCACCAGACCGGACTGGACCTGGCACCAAACCTGGCACCGGACCGGACTGGACCTGGCACCAAACCTGGCACCGGACCGGACTGGACCTGGCACCAAACCTGGCACCAGACCGGACTGGACCTGGCACCGGTGAATCAGAGAGTGTTGGGGATGTTTGTACATTTCCAGCTTTGACCCGGAATAAGATGCAACATGAACTCTAGTTTCCAGAGGCGTCGCTCCAGAAGGACTCGGTGTTTCTGCCAACAGTCCAGACATAAATAAATACGCGCTGTTCCTTTAAATCACTGTGATTCTGGGGCCTGTCGGCCGTTAGAGGAGCCGTCGTCTGTTTCACAGATGCATGTTTGGTGTTTTCCTGGAACCAATCAGGATGAATGCCTGCTGCTGTCAGCGCCCCCTGCTGGCTGCAGGAAGCTGCCTGCTGGGATATAAATAGATGTTCTGCAGCAGTGGCCCACTCACTGCTGAGCTCGGATCGGTTTGTTCCTTTAAAGCTCCCGATCACTGTTTAAACTCAAACTTTCCCTAAATGTTTCAGGAGGAAGACTCAAACGGACCTCAATGTTGATTCTTCCAGATCTGACTGACTGGGAACACTGGGAACCACTGACAGGATGCCCGGAGCCACTCCGCCCGTCCTGACGGAGGCGCTCCGATCCCTACCTGATGCTGGAGATGAGCTGCCGCTGCTCTGCGGTGGTGAGGACCTCCGGCAGCACCGAGGCCAGCCAGTCCACCTTCTTCTCCGCTGCGTACTGCTTCAGCACCGAGAACAGCTTCTCCTTCACCTCCGGGGCCTCGCCCAGCAGCTGCTCCACCTGCAGGAATGGTGCGGAGCGTCATGTGAGGGGCGGGGCTTGGGAAGTTGAAGCCCCGCCCCTCACATGAAGGGGCGGGGCCTCCACCCCTTCTCATTTTGGATGGAAAGAAGTTAAGAATATTTCTGATGTTTCTGTGCCAGGGAGATCCTGATTGGCTGATAAACTTTAAGCTCATGTTTCTTTTGGGAGGAGCTAAAGAAACAAGGGCGGAGCTTCAGAAAAGGGGCGGAGCTTCAGATGTTCTGCCACTGGCACCAGAATGTTTTCATCAATATTAACGAATTATTGAGTTAAAACAAGCTCCAACATTTGATCAAAGTTACTTGTAAGTTAGTCTTGTCCAATTCTAAGTGTCCTAAGATACAGTTTCAGTGTAAACCCGGTCAGAACCGACCCGGTGGTGTCATTATCCAGCTCTGTGTTTTAAGGGAGAACAGAACCAGAGTGAGGACGCTGAAGCAGGAAGTGGTGCGGTTCCTCTTCCTGCTGGAACAGACCTGGACTGAGCCGCTTCCTGTCTGCCTGCCGTACCTTCATGTTGAACTCCAGAGCCTTGTGCTTGCGGTCCAGCCGGGCCCACTCGCCGCCCGGCGGGCCGTCCTCCAGGCTGGTGCTGCGTTTGTGCCGGGGCCCCAGGCTCAGCACGCCCAGGCGCAGCGTCCGGCCCTGCGACGCCTTGATGAGCGCGGCGGCCATCTCGTGGTGCCTGACCGGGATGCCGTTCACCTCCATGACAAAGTCGCCGGCCCGCAGCCCGGCCCGGCCGGCCGGGGAGCAGGGGGAGCAGTCCTCCACCAGCAGGGGGCAGTCTCCCACGATGGTGAAGCCAAAACGACTGTCCGGGCCCGGAACGATGTCCATCTGGACCAGACACAGGAACAACGGTGAAACCACGGAAACCTGACGCTAGCTTCAAGACAAAACATCGCAAGAAGTCACACTGCCGCCAAAATAAAATATCGATTATCCCGGTCTCTCCGATGGACGGCGACCCGGCGACCCCGCCTGTCGCCAGCTGGCACCGTCCCGACCCGGATGGGATGGAAGCATGGAATACCCTGGTCTTTAAAATGTTATTTACAATAAGTGTTTACCAAAAATAAAGGAAACAAACAAACCTTGTTACTGGTTCAGCAACCAGTAAGAAGGTTGTTAAACTTCTTACTGGTTTCAATGGAACTTCAAAATGGATAATGAAATTCACATTATACCTGACATAGATGAGCAGATGATGAACCCATGAACAGATGAACACATGATCAGATGAACACATGAACAGATGATGAACACATGAGCAGATGATGAACACATGAACAGATGATGAACACATGAACAGATGATGAACACATGAACAGATGATGAACACATGAGCAGATGATGAACACATGAACAGATGATGAACACATGAGCAGATGATGAACACATGAACAGATGAACACATGAGCAGATGAACACATGAACAGATGATGAACACATGAGCAGATGATGAACACATGAACAGATGATGAACACATGAGCAGATGATGAACACATGAACAGATGAACACATGAGCAATGATGAACACATGAACAGATGATGAACACATGAACAGATGATGACACATGAGCAGATGATGAACACATGAGCAGATGATGAACACATGAACAGATGAACATATGAGCAATGATGAACACATGAACAGATGATGAACACATGAGCAGATGAACACATGAACAGATGAACACATAAGCAGATGATGAACACATGAGCAGATGATGAACACATGAACAGATGAACACATGAGCAGATGATGAACAAATGAACAGATGATGAACACATGAGCAGATGAACACATGAACAGATGAACACATGAACAGAAGAACACATGAGCAGATGAACACATGAACAGATGATGAACACATGAGCAGATGATGAACACATGAACAGATGAACACATGAGCAGATGAACACATGAGCAGATGATGAACACATGAACAGATGATGAACACATGAACAGATGATGAACACATGAACAGATGATGAACACATGAGCAGATGATGAACACATGAGCAGATGATGAACACATGAACAGATGAACACATGAGCAATGATGAACACATGAACAGATGATGAACACATGAGCAGATGAACACATGAACAGATGAACACATAAGCAGATGATGAACAAATGAACAGATGATGAACACATGAGCAGATGATGAACACATGAGCAGATGATGAACACATGAACAGATGAACACATGAGCAATGATGAACACATGAACAGATGATGAACACATGAGCAGATGAACACATGAACAGATGAACACATAAGCAGATGATGAACAAATGAACAGATGATGAACACATGAACAGATAATGAACACATGAGCAGATGAACACATGAACACATGAGCAGATGAACATGAACAGAAGAACACATGAGCAGATGAACACATGAGCAGATGAACACATGAACAGATGAACACATGAACAGAAGAACACATGAGCAGATGAACACATGAGCAGATGAACACATGAACAGATGAACAAATGAACAGAAGACCACATGAACAGATGAACACATGAACAGATGATGAACATGAGCAGATGAACACATGAACAGATGATGAACACATGAGCAGTGAACACATGAACAGATGATGAACACATGAGCAGATGAACACATGAACAGATGATGAACACATGAGCAGATGATGAACACATGAGCAGATGATGAACACATGAACAGATGAACACATGAGCAATGATGAACACATGAACAGATGATGAACACATGAGCAGATGAACACATGAACAGATGAACACATAAGCAGATGAACACATGAGCAGATGATGAACACATGAACAGATGAACATGAGCAGATGATGAACAAATGAACAGATGATGAACACATGAGCAGATGAACACATGAACAGATGAACACATGAACAGAAGAACACATGAGCAGATGATGAAAACATGAACAGATGAACACATGAGCAGATGATGAACAAATGAACAGATGATGAACACATGAGCAGATGAACACATGAGCAGATGATGAACACATGAACAGATGATGAACACATGAACAGATGATGAACACATGAACAGATGATGAACACATGAGCAGATGATG